TATACAGTCAGTATACTAGAAAAAATCTCGATTTGCTCGAACAGGGGCCGCGAGGAATCGGTAGGTAATGATGACGTTTCTATTGTTTGCGCCCGCAAGTACGAAATGGTTAGGATGACGTAAAGACAGAAAATCCCGAAGGGACCGCTCGGGTAGATTTTGTGACATTTATTGTGCAGTCATACTTCGATACTGTTTGCCTTACGCAGTGACATTCTGTGGAGCAGTTGTTTTGAAAGTTATGGACCAAAAGACACTCGTTAAGCGCAAATGAGGTTATAAGGTGCGTTTAACTGTTTATATATAAACACTTGGAGAGTTTGCCAGACACGAGTTCACAAATCTTTGATTTATATTGGAAACCTTGCCAGACACTCTTTCTCTCTCTCGGACCGGAATAAGACTCAGCCCCAAACAAGCAAGACGCGTGAACAACGGCTAGCTTATCACTAGCAGATTGATGGACAATTGCAGAAATTCGCCGACAATCAAATTCTGTGCTGACTTATTCCCTGCTCACAGATGTCCTTCCGTTATAAAGTTTCAATTAAGACTAGAATGCACGAGCGCGAATCGATCAAAAGCCCTTTTAATTTCTAAGGCTTACTTTCCGGCATATAAAATGAACTGAATGTAAAAAGTGAAAGAGAAATAGTGAAAAATTCAACTTCTACTTAAATCTTTTCTTATGGTTTAGAATAAAATTTTCTCGAAACTGAGAATGTTTTGATCAAAGCTGTGTAAATCGAGCTGAACCTTGCGTTTCCTGTATTTATCTCACCTATTGTATGGACTTCAATTCATTATGAATCGGTATATTTCAAAGAGCTACACAACCAGCAAGAATACTATTGACCGACAATATACAGAACGGGGGCAGCTTTAGTGTCAACTATTACTAGTTATAACAAATTTATCCATTCAACGGTATTGATGTATTTAAAATTTGACAACACTGACTGAGGTAATATAAAATATTGCTAACAACACAAGAGGATCTCAAAGGGGTAGTAGCGTTTACGCTTAACGGTCAATCTTTCCAACTTTGAAGGTACAGTTTTTAGAGCTTTTGACGGTTGAAGGCCGTTATTAAGTGGGAATTTATTACAAGAGTTTTTGAAATTATNCGAGGAATCGGTAGGTAATGATGACGTTTCTATTGTTTGCGCCCGCAAGTACGAAATGGTTAGGATGACGTAAAGACAGAAAATCCCGAAGGGACCGCTCGGGTAGATTTTGTGACATTTATTGTGCAGTCATACTTCGATACTGTTTGCCTTACGCAGTGACATTCTGTGGAGCAGTTGTTTTGAAAGTTATGGACCAAAAGACACTCGTTAAGCGCAAATGAGGTTATAAGGTGCGTTTAACTGTTTATATATAAACACTTGGAGAGTTTGCCAGACACGAGTTCACAAATCTTTGATTTATATTGGAAACCTTGCCAGACACTCTTTCTCTCTCTCGGACCGGAATAAGACTCAGCCCCAAACAAGCAAGACGCGTGAACAACGGCTAGCTTATCACTAGCAGATTGATGGACAATTGCAGAAATTCGCCGACAATCAAATTCTGTGCTGACTTATTCCCTGCTCACAGATGTCCTTCCGTTATAAAGTTTCAATTAAGACTAGAATGCACGAGCGCGAATCGATCAAAAGCCCTTTTAATTTCTAAGGCTTACTTTCCGGCATATAAAATGAACTGAATGTAAAAAGTGAAAGAGAAATAGTGAAAAATTCAACTTCTACTTAAATCTTTTCTTATGGTTTAGAATAAAATTTTCTCGAAACTGAGAATGTTTTGATCAAAGCTGTGTAAATCGAGCTGAACCTTGCGTTTCCTGTATTTATCTCACCTATTGTATGGACTTCAATTCATTATGAATCGGTATATTTCAAAGAGCTACACAACCAGCAAGAATACTATTGACCGACAATATACAGAACGGGGGCAGCTTTAGTGTCAACTATTACTAGTTATAACAAATTTATCCATTCAACGGTATTGATGTATTTAAAATTTGACAACACTGACTGAGGTAATATAAAATATTGCTAACAACACAAGAGGATCTCAAAGGGGTAGTAGCGTTTACGCTTAACGGTCAATCTTTCCAACTTTGAAGGTACAGTTTTTAGAGCTTTTGACGGTTGAAGGCCGTTATTAAGTGGGAATTTATTACAAGAGTTTTTGAAATTATTAACTTCTGTTCAGTATTAATTGATGACATTAATGTCTAAGTGCTTTTGAGAACTTCAGGGAACTGGTTTTTCCAGTT